GTCTAGAAGACTAGGATAAGAGAGATGGAGGGGCATTTTCGTCAATGAATTTGAAAATGTCAAATCATGTGTATTTCTCTAATTAAGTGTCAAAATCGGATATGTGAGCAAATAATCTCAATATATATATGATATGGTAACTAAATTTTATAAATCAAAATATAGAAAAGAAAAAATACGAAATTGAATCGACATCCGGATTGATCATCCCTTTGTTGGAGTGATACTTTAAAAAAAAAAAAAAAGATGGAGTATTGTTTCTGTATCAATGTTTTTGTTTATGTATTTGGTCACTATACAATCTTAGATTTGATTAATTCTCCTAACAAATGAAAATTAAATTTGGTAAAACAAAATCAAAATTTGTCTTTAACTGCATGCATAACTGATTACAGTAATAAATTATGTAACTGCAACAGTTTGGTATAAAGAGTCAAATTTAAATGAGTGAACATTATGAACCAAAAGATAAAACATTTTTATATCTCTCACTAAGAAAAACCCACGATTCGTGCAGAATTTTGGTATTTTGTCAAAAGAAAAGAAAATTTGTTTGTAAATATTTTGTATCAGTACTAAAGGTATCATTAAGCTTTTTAAGTCAGTATCTAACATTTTTATTTTTTACAATTATTAGAATACAATAATCTCAGATATGCTGTTCACATTACTTAAAAATCATCAATTTATTTTATTATCAAAAACAATTTAATGAATATTCTCAAAACATTCAATTTTATTTTCAGTTAAGTTACATTAACTTTCACTATTTTGTTATTATTCTTTTTATAAATTAATTTTCTATTTTGAAAATTATTTTTCTATTTTATAAATTATTTTTCTATTTTATAAATTATTTTTCTATTTTACTTTGATATTAAGTAATATCCAATTTTTATAAAAATTATTTCCTCGAATTTAACACAGAATATAAATACTTTTATATGTTTATTTCTTGAATAGAGGTATTTTATTTTATATATATAATAACACAAAATAGTAGCTTATTCATTACAACAACAAAAAAAACTATTAAATTAGGTATGTAACTTGAAAATTAATACTAATTGTTACTATTTATCATGTTTTTTTCCTACGTACTATAATTAATATGCAACTAAATCTTGTTATTCTTAGTTATTGAAGACAATTATTGGTAATATATAATAAATTACTAAATATTATCAGTAAATTTTACTAGTTTTATTTTTATTTATTAATATTATGCTAGTACTTAAAATTAGTTAATTATATATATTGCTAAACGTATCATTAAGTTTTTTTAAATAGAAAACTTAAAGCTTACCAAAAATATATTAGTATGGACCGAAAACATACAGATTACTAATATATATTAGTATTTGAATATCAGAAAGAAAGTCCATCTGTAGGCTGCACGCTCACCTCAAAGTTAGGTATGATTTTTTAACAGATTTGGGTTAATTTTTTTCTTTATAAAAAATATATTAGTATAACTATTTTATTAATTATCATTCTTAAATTATGATGTATTTTGTTTATGATACAAAATGATAATGAATGTTCATATTATTTTCAGTTAAATTAAATGTATCTAAATTAAAAATTTATGAATGTCTGTTCATATTCTTTTCAGTTTCTTTACATGTTTTAAAATTATAAATTATGTATAAATTTAATATTTACTTAAAATCAATTTGTATATATTAAAATAAATACTAAAATAACATATGTGTAATGTTGATAATAATATTGTTAAGGGAATAATATTAATTTTTGAAAATTTTAAAATTGTAATATTTTTATATAACCAAAATTATATATTTTAGCATTTGTTAAATTATGTTAAAATAATTATTTATAATTTAAAACCTACAATTACTTGTGTTTAATTAGTTTTAATGTTTGATTATCTGATGTGGCATATTCTTGTGAGAGATCACAATTTTATATAGATAGATATATAAATTGTTAAATTATATTAAAATAATTATTTATAATTTAAAACCTACAATTGATTGTGTTTGATTATCTGATGTGACATATCCTTGTGAGAGATCACAATTTTTTATATATATAGATGTTGCGAAACAACCATCTTCTCACTTCCTTCTTTGCTTCTATTTCTTTTTTCAGAATACAACACAGAAACCAATTGTCAGCTTCAATTCTAAAGTGATGCAAAATAGTTAAATGTGTAGTCATATTTTAGGATTCTGATTACATTTGTCAGCTTCAATTCTAAAGTGATGCAAAATAGTTAAATGTGTAGTCATATTTTAGGATTCTGATTACATTAAACATCACACTGTGAAGAATTACAAAACTACGAAAAGTGCTTCACATTCTTTCTTTCTTTTTTTTTTGCTTGATAGAGTGTTTCACCTTCCTACAGCAGAGTCTTTGTTATCGTTTTTTCAGTATTAGTTACAATATAAAACTATGTTTTCTATTAAACTATTTACGATTATTTATTATTTTCAAATGGTAAAATAAGGTTATTCATTAGTTATATCAATTTGAGGCAGTATGGAAGATACTCCGTAACTCTGTATGAAAGGCTTTAGAGGCACAGTCGACAATCTAGTAAAAGTAAACACCTAGTTCAAGTTTTAAAGTTCACGATCAAACGAAAAATGTTGCGGAGAGTTAATGTTCTCTTCCATTTGTAGTCTTACTATTTAGATCAAAAAATACTTGGTGGTACACAACTATCCACAAAAAGATGATTTATCTTCATGATATTTAAGAATCTTAATGTCCTGCAACAAACTCATAAAATAAAGTTACGATTCAATGGCATTAAAGGGACGTAATTGACTAAATTTCAATATAAAAGCTAACAGTAATCATTTTCTTGAAACCGTATAGTATTACAATAATCTGTCCCAAACAAATGTATAAAAAACAAACTTGTCGTCTCAAAGTTTCTTTCTCTTTATCTTAACCTTGAAGCAAGATACAGCGAAAAAAAGGACGCTCCTTTATTTTCATGGTTTCATACCTCAAACCAGCTTGGCTCTCAAGTCGCCATTGATTTGTTTTGTCTTTAAACCCTCAACGACAAAAACAAAAACAAAACCGGCAAATTTCATTTTGTTTTGTCTGGACACAAAAACACAAACTTTATGCACAACCAACTACCAAAAAAAAAACACAACTTCGAAAGCCTCTCTCTATCTCTTAGTTATGAAACCCATCTACCAGTTCTTCGCCTTCTTCTGGTTCTTCTTCTTACCTTTCTCTGTAATCTCCGGCGACAACAACAAGAATCTGATCTTCAAAGGCTGCGCAAGCCAGAAATCTCCAGACCCAACTGGTGCTTTCTCTCAGAACCTCAACACTCTATTCACTTCCTTACTTTCTCAATCCGCTCAGAGATCTTTCGCCTCCTCAACCGCCGGAACCGATAACACAACCGCCGTAACCGGCGTTTTCCAGTGCCGCGGCGACCTCCCCGCCGCCGAGTGCTACGACTGCGTCTCCAAAATCCCCAAACTCGTCTTCAAGCTCTGCGGCGGCGGAGGAGACGACGGGAACGTGGTGGTGGCGGCGCGTGTGCAGCTCTCCGGTTGTTATATCCGGTACGAAGTCTCGGGGTTCCGACAGACTTCCGGTACCGAGATGCTGTTCCGTGTCTGCGGGAAGAAACAGTCCGGCGATCCCGGGTTGGTCGGGAAGAGGGATACGGCGTTTGGGATGGCGGAGAGCGGCGTGAAGACGGGAGGGAACGGCGGAGGGTTTTACGCGGGGCAGTATGAGTCGGTGTATGTGTTGGGACAGTGCGAGGGTAGTTTGGGAAATTCAGATTGTGGTGAGTGTGTGAAAGAAGGGTTTGAGAAAGCAAAGAGTGAGTGTGGGAGTTCGATCTCTGGTCAGGTTTATCTTCATAAGTGCTTCGTTAGCTACAGTTACTACTCTAACGGCGTTCCAAAAATTTCTAATTCCCTTCCAGGTAAAAAAGTTCAAATTTGAGAGATCATAGGCTTTAAAATTAGAATCAAAGTTTTTCATTTTCATTTTATTTCTACTAAAGTAAATGTTAAAATCTAGTTTCTTAATATGTTTAGAAATATAATTATCATGAAGGAAATTTGTTGAAAAAGTACTTTACGTTTTATATTACCCGAAATAGGACATTATATATCATGCGCTTTTGCATTTTTGGCTTTTGTGGTTTTTAAAAAGAAATTCTGATAGTTCTAACGATTTGGTGATAATTGAGCTCTATTATGCCAAGATATGGATGATTGATATGTTGTTATATAAGAATACACATGGAATCATGGATCTTGTAGAAGAATATTTCAAGATTTCGCTGTCATACAGATTAAACAAAGCCTAATGGAAGCAAGACAAAAAGAAAAGGAAAAACTAGTGGAAGCAATTAAAAAGAAAAGAAAAAAGCTAGTGGGAAAATAGTTTGCTTTATATAAAAAAGAAGAGATTTTGTTTCCAGATTTTAGTATGTTGACACATTACACAAAATTGAAATGTTATCTATTTTCTTTGATAAATTAGTTTTCAAATAATTGAAACAGGCACTGATGGGGTGTGTGTAATTGTGTAGATGGAGAGAAGAGACAGCACACGCAAAGAACAATAGCTTTGGCGGTGGGAGGAGTAGCAGTTTTAGGATTTGTGATTGTTTGTTTGTTGGTTTTGAAATCTGCCATGAAGAAGAAGAGTAAATATGATAGTTATTGAATCTCTTAACAACCAATTCTCATTTTACCCAACCAGGAAAAATGAAATCAACAGTTTTGAGAAGGGTTAAATATATATTAATAGCATCATGTCAAATTTGTACATTCAATTATGATATTGATTCATAATAATGAAAGGGATTCGCCAACTTACTGAAAACTACTTGTTATCTTATTACCAACTTACTGCATCCACTCTTATCTCCAATTCAGCCTTTACCAGTTTAGGTTTCACCTTTCTACAATTTCCAATTTCGTTCACTCTCAGATCTTAATAAGTTAATAGTATTAATATGAATAACTAAAAATGATCTTCTTTCACCTTAAACCCTCAACGAATCAAAACCAAACAAGATCATAAACCAACTTGCCCATTATTTGTCTAAAACTCAAATCTCCACGACACATAAAACATCAAAACCATCCACAAACTTAAGACACATAGAACATGCCAGATAACATAAAAACTTAAACTTCATCGCCTAAATATCATATGTTTTAGCTTCCGAAGATGATAATCAAAACAAAGCTTTGAACCTTACGAGAATATTCGAATCCGGTCGAACCATAACAGAAAAACCGATAAAAATAAAACAGAGGAAAAACCGTTAACATCGTTCATAGGACTTTTTCTAGAATCCCCTTTGCGGAGGAGCTCCGAGAAGGCTAGCCTGCTGAAGATCAATTTCGTTGAGCTGCGCTTCACGATCCATCTCGATGATCAACGGAACGACGAGGATCAGAAAAGTTGTACCAGCGATCCACGCGGCTTTCCCCGTGCTCCACAGCAGTTTCGTCGACACTCCTACAGCATCTCCAGCGACGCGTCTCCCTTGAGAGACGATCTCGGAATTGGAGATCTTCGCCAAGATGTTTGAATCTCCGCCGTTAGGTTTACCGGCTCCACCGAATCTCTTGGCCGCCATCGATTGATTGATAATGAGTAGCGATTTCGAGGGTTTTAGTTTTCGTTCGATAGGGAGAGTTTTTGTTCGTCTTATATTGGGTCATTAAGGCCCAATTAATTAGTAGGCCCATTAAATTTAACAGATAATCTATGTCTCCTCAAGACTTTGGGCTTATACGGATGGTGTGAACAAAAGTATTGAAGGTGAGTGGCTCTCTAATACAAGTTAACAAGAATATACCGTAGTGTAGATGATCTTCTATCTTCAGACAAGACTTTTTTTTTTTTTTTGTCACTGATCTTCAGACAAGACTAAAATTGAAAATGTGTGCAATGGGAGAATTTTAATTGCTCAGTTAGTGCCAAATACAGCGAGTCAATGGTCTGCTAATTAGGCAATATACAACTCCAGATTTATGTTGAGGCTGAGTAAAATGTTTATTCTTTTGTTATGTTATAAATTATAATACTGCACCACAAGACGCTGCTTATGTTCAGGTACACTGTATTCGTTTACTGGACAATGACTTATTCTTTGTCAGTTATTAGCTTGATGAACCAAAGGACTTGGAGTTTACAATGTTATGAAGCTTCAACTTCACTTGTAGGCTCAACACTTATGGGGTTAAAAAATATATAACTTCCAGTTTTTGGTATAAGTAATGCATACGGGGATATTTAAAATAATTGACTTAAACTTTCAAATGCATTTATTTTTCCCCTCAAATATCATAACTTAACTATAGATTTAAACGTGTTTGAGCTGAGAAAATTTTATGATGGGTGGTCTATAAGAAATGTTTCACAATACAATCTATAATATTATAGTTGATTGGGTTTAGATTAAGGTATGTTGTTTAATGGTGTCTTTTTCTTTGGGTTTTCGATTTCCATGTGGGTTTAGTTTCCAGAGATATCCACGTGTTACGCCGGCTATATGGTATTCCGACATTGTAAGTTTCGATTGCTATCAATGAAAAATTCAGATGAAAAAAAATAATATTTTACTGTCTCCTAAAAATATCTAGTCATCAGGTATGTGGGATCTATTTTAATTTTTTTTTTGTCGGTAGACTAAAATGGATCAATGACTGGGCAAACAAAATTTTCTGACTCTAACAAAACATGCACATTGTGATAGTGGTTGGTAGCTGTGATACAAATAGAATTTTAACACAAAATTTCCCATGATTGGATAGAGAACACTAAACACAAAAGTATCACATTTCATTATCTTGCTTCAATGTTATTATAACACAAATCTTTGAAAATCAAAAACCACAGCAAAAATAAACTTCCATATATTTAGATAAAGCAATAACTAGAGTATAGGACCTTGCGCTTGTGACCTATGCATTTAGAGCATCCACACCAATGAATCCCCTCTTGGGGTTCATTAAATCATTTTTTTATTATTAAAAATTTTCTATTTTTCTTTTTGATTTTTTTTTTTTTAAAAAGAAAAAAAACCTAGACCAATCTCGAGCTTACACGTGTTGAACCTCAGGAGAGAGGGGTTCACCCGAGAGAATTTTAGGAGAGAGAGGTTCATAGATTTTTGTTATTTTATTATTATTATTTTTTGGTTTCCGTGTGAACCCCCGTTTGAACTCTCAATGGGGTGCTCTTAGTATTAGTAAAAATAAAGCATAAGAAAAAAACATATGGTATTTGAAGAGTTAACAAAAAAATATAATAACCATTCTAAAACTAAAGTAACGAACATCGAACCAAAAAGATAAACATGCCGAGCAAACAGATGCTAAAATCCACTGACAATAATAGTCGAGGCGTTACAAGAAGAAAAAGGTTAATTGCCATTTTGATATTTTCACAATCTACTGATTCAATTGTTAAAATGCGTTGAAGATGATAACATCCAATTGAATGCTAATAAGTAATAAACACCAATACTACTAGTATTAGTTAATAACATTAAAACTGCCATTAACATGTCATTTTATTGATGTGTTATGTTGAAGTATAAAAATAAATTTCTAGTTATAAAAGCTTAACGTTATTTTAGTAAGATCTCAGAAATTGATGGTAATTTTAAGGAAAAAAAAAATTCAATTACATGAATTAATTTCTATTTGCTAAAAGTTACTTAAACTATTTGACTTCTCGATTAATACATAAAAAAAAATTTTATAAGCAATTAATACAAAAATTTTGAAAATCGAATTTTTTTTACCAATAAACTAATTACATCAACGGATTAAAGAGATTTGTTAAAACATTGTTAGTTTGGTGGTGTAAAACTTTCAAGTTGAAATAATTTATGTATTAATTGGGCAACGATGAATGGTTTGGGTATTAAACATGAAATATAAAATAGTTAGATATTTTTTTATAACAAATGAAAATGATATCATGTATTTTTTGGGAAAATTTGCTAAAGTTGTAAACCGTAAAATTAACGACATCAACAATTTATACAAAATCGATAAAATTTGTTAATTTTATTGAATATGTGAGCTATAACTAGTGTGGGAAAACATAATTAACATAATAACTAGGTGATGTACTCAGTAAGCAAATACTATTTAAAAGTATACTAGGTGTTTTGTCCGCACTTGCGGACACAGTTATCTTATGAATATTTATTAGCTGATGTTTCATTAATTTAAAAACCAGCATAATAAGTTATTATTTATGTTTTCAAAAATACAAATGAAACATCAAAAATTAGGGAAAATTTGGAGAAATGCCTTCATATAAGATTTTATTTTGAAAACTATATCATTGTATAATATTTTGGAAAACTACACTTAATCCTAAGTCAAATTACCAAACTATCCAATTAAAATCTTTATTATTATTTTACATCTAAATTATTATTTTAAATAAAAACACAAATATATTTAGAATCATTTGCGCTTGAAAAATCATATTTTAAACTCATTACTTGCCAAACAAAACATCCTTCAGCTTTTGCAAACAAGTTTCTCGTATTCTTATTCTTAAGATTTAAATAAAAAATAAAAACTAATTAATCAATAACACAAATGTGTTTAACAATAACTAAATAATCATGTGTTCCGTTGAAAGAATTTTTAGTTCCGGTATACGACTAGACACACATGAAACAAACCTAGATAAAAAATAAGAAGTACAGTAAAACCTCTATAAATTAATCATATTGAGACTTTAAAATTTTATTAATTTACAGAGATATTAATTTACGAAAGTTTCCTTATTTAGATTTTTTTTCCATTTTTATTTATCAAATGAAAAAATATTTTATTTTAGCATATGTACATTATTTAAATTTTATAAATTTGACTTTTATATTGTTTTATTATCTTATTTGGTGTATATTTTTATGTTTCATAGAATTGTTACATGGTTTTCGATATAATTTAACTAAATATTATCAAAATATATTGAAATGTTTAAAAAGTAAAAATATTTTTATAGTAAATATAAAACCCCTAACTAAATATTATCAAAATTTATTGAAATGTTTGAAAAAATAAAAGTTTTTATAGTAAATGTAAAACCAACAATATAATGTTAGATTGTACTTATATAAAATTATATATAGCTAGATTATTAATTTATGATTTTAGTGGGACCATATATTTATATGGCAGTTTTAAAAATATTATTATCTTACTATTTTATCGATTTATGTCATATTTTTACATTGGCCCAAGTTGGGACCGGTGAAATTTATTAATTTACAGAGATTATTAATTTATCGAGTATTAATTTATATAGTAACTACCGTAAATGGTGCATTGGTGTGTCTTATCTAATTTTACTACAATTTATTCGTTAATGTATTTTTCTTTGATTAAAACACAATAATTCAACGGGGGGAAATGAATTTTATAAACATTGTGAATCTAGAACACAGAAGAACTCTTGCAGTTGTAAATAATATCAAACGTACGTTTTTACTGCTCTTAAAAATGTGTATGATTCAATCCATTGATCATTTATTAAAGATACTAAGAATCAACAATATGAACATATTTTTATCTCAAAACGTTTATTTACCACAAACACAGATAATAATAATATTTTAAAGTTTTAATTTTATTTATATACTTTCCGAATTAATTAGTTATTAAAAGTTAATTACTAAATAAAACCAGGATAAAAGTGTCTTAATTTTCAAAAAATAAAAAGAAGTATAATTTTCAATTTTCAATTCACAAATAAGATATTTTTCAAATTATCCCTAAGAATTAACCTATTTTCTAAAATATCATGTTATTAATATAAATTATTTTTAATTATATACTCAATAATAAACAAAATTAAAGAAATTCTGATAAATGATCAAAATTACCTAGGATCGTGGAGACAAATCAACAAATTCACTTCTCAATTAATTGTTTTGATGATTTATATTTAGTTATTAATAATATAATTTTTATATCTTAATTTAAAATTTTATAATACGAAAATATATTTTCAAGATAACAACATAATACATAAGAAGTATCTTATTTTATAAAGATATAAAATTATTAATATAAATGCATTTTAGTTATATAATAAATATAATAATTTTTATATCTTAATTTAAAATTTTAAGTTTTATATATAAAATCTATTTTTAGATTACAACATAATTCACAAGATTATCTTATTTTCTAAGATATGCTATATTCATATAAATTCGTTATATTTATAAATAAATTATATATAAATATTAAAATATGATAAATAAAAAAACTATCTAAATTTATGGAACATGACACTAAGCAAATTTACTTCTTAAATAATAGTATAGATATGATGTTTTCGATACTTTTTAAGTTTTTTTTTTAACTAGAGTTATAGTGAAAAACAATGACTCATAAAAGGCGTATCTTATCATTTGTTGTCTTCAGCAGACTCAAGACCAAGATGCCCAACTTCATATGTAGATAATGCCCATGTTCTAGAACGCGTTAGGCGCTAGTCGGGCGGCTTGGTTGGACCTAGCACCTAGAGAGAAAATCGGGGATTAAACATGGATTATACATAGCAGAATTTTTAGACTATTTGATATGTTATAAAATATGTTAATCTTTAATTGTGTATAACATTAATACATTTTCATGTTTAGAATCTTATAAAACACACAAATCTTTATAAATAAAGTAGACAAATCTGCTCACACAAGCAGCCACGATGCTTTTTTAGATGAGGGGAATTCTCGACACGTGTCGACGTATGGGTGGCTGATTTTTTCCAAAAAAAAAAACCAACGTAATGGGCTGATTATCAAAATATAAGCCCAACTCGCGTGTTAGCTGAAGCCCAACTCGTGTCTTTAGTACGCCGGCGGAAAAAAAAAAAATCTTCATCCCCGACTTCTCTTCTCCTCTGTAAAATCAGAGAAACTCTAACGCCTCAACTCTACTAAATTTTTTGCATTTATTTTCGACTTTAGAAAGGAGTAATCCACGCCTCCCTCTTAAAGTTTGCTTCGCAACTCTTCACTTTCTTGCAAACCGATTGCAGCTCAACTATAAATATCCTCCCCTGTGAAGATGAAAATCCAAAGACAAAAGAAAGCTAAAAACTCTGAAACTCCAAAAGAAACTAGCTATGGCTAATTCATACACGTTACTTGCTGATTTGAAGGCTGGGAGATGCTCCAACTCTGCTGAGATCCGGCTCCTCCGTTTCTGGGAAGCCAGGAACCTAAACAAAAATAACCAGTTGATGAGCATTGAGATGTTGATGATCGACGAGGATGTAAGTTTTTTCCCAATCTTATACAATCACCTTTTTCCTTTGCTCGCTTTCTAAGTTCCTAAATAATACTTTTTAGTCCTCCTGTTAGTTGTTTTTTACAATTGCAAACAACACAAACACAGTTAGGTTCTATTAGTTTTACGCTTCGCTAATACTTTCCATTGGTTGATATAAACAGTCGATGCTGGTGCAAGGGTCTGTTCCTGCTTCATTACAACAAACTTTCCGATCCCGTTTATCTGAAGGATCCCTGTACCGGATGAGCCGTTTCGACGTCACACGCAGCAATACCAAATACAGACTCTCTGACGGTCCTGTCGCCATTCGTTTTAATGAGGGGACTGATTTTCAGAAGCTACTAGCCACTTAAAGGATAATACCTAAAGAATATTTTCGATTCCGACCATTTGACCAGATCCGCAACCTAGCAAATAGTGGGAAACAGCTGCCTGGTAAACTTTTCTACTAATAATGAAACCGGTTTCTGGTGTTGATTTCTTATACGAAAATTAATGTCTACTCTGTATTATTTGGTAGACGTTATGGGTGAGCACCGTACGCTCAAGAGCACCATCACTGACCGTCTTGCAGAGGCACCTCGGGTTATGCTAACACTAAGAATGGCAACGTAAGCAGCTTTGGTTCCAATCCATTTGCTTTTACAGGGGCTGTTAAACTAACACTGTGTTTACCCTTTGCTCTGATTATTTTTAAAATAGTGATGATGAAATCTGTGTGAGTATGTTCGATGATTTGGCCCTTGCATTCCATGAAAAGTTTGATGCTTACGGAAAAGAGCCTAAGATTGTCTTAATAACGAGCATCAATCCAAAGATAGCTTCAGGTAAATTATTAGTTCATGTAGTAGTTATTAAATTCGAGTTTCAGGCTCCTATTTTTCTTGATAATGCGTAAACATTATTTGCAGGGAGGTTATACCTCAACGGCACTTCCGCCACCCGTGTATTCTTTGACTGTGAAACAGCTGTTGGGAAAGAGGCATACGACCGGCAGGTTTTTCTGGTTTTCTCTATTTTGATACTTAATGTTTATCCCTACGTTTTTGAAATTTAAATTACTGCTCATCACTTGAAAGGTGTAAATGACGACCTCTCATCGTTTACTGGTTCTCCTCCTAATTTGAAACCAGTTTGCCTGGAGCTGGTGCGGACGAGGGAGGGTCCTCATCAAAGGTGGTCCATGCACAGAAGATTGAACCCCTGACTATTAAAGAGCTTAACGACTTTGTTTTGACCGGTGATCCCCAGGTATAAATCCAGAATATTAAGCTTCCGTCCCATATTTAACTTCTGCAAACTCAATTTTGATAACATGTACTGTCAGGTCATCGACTTTATTTGTACCGCCAGCATCACTGGTGTTCAGCTAGAAGATGGATGGTGTTACATTGGCTGCTCTATTTGTTCAAAGAAGCTTCTCCGGGAGGAGACATCATTCACATGCGCCTCATGCAATCTACCTAATGCTGTAGCTGAACTCAGGTTGGTACTTCAAATTGTCAGTTTTTTGCTAACAGATACATGAGCTAACATAAATCATGTGTCACAGGTATCGAGTTGCCTTTTCTGTATCGGACGCCACAGGCACAGCAGCCTTTCTTGGCTTCGATAAAGAGATTGCCAAGCTGACAAATGTATTGGCATCGGAGGCCGCGCAGATTGTGGTAAATCTTAAACATTTCATTATTGCCTACGTTTAGTCTTCCTTTGGTTATAGATTCCACAAACTTAGCTGAAACTTGCTTTAGGGAATTGGTGCTAATGCTGAGGTGGACACTGATATCCCTCGGTCTCTTTCAGCTGTAGTCGACAAGACTTACACTTTCCAACTTAAGTTAACAGATTTCAACTTCAGTCCAAATCACCAAACCTTTACCATTTCTCGCATTTTTCCAGCACGAGAGCTTGCACCGAACCCCACATTTTCTGTGCGCGTTCTTTTTTTTCTTTTCCTTTTCCTGTTTGTTAATTATCTGATGATATGTTTTGCACTTTTCAATGACAGGAAGGTGCATGGGCAGCTACAACTGCAGTACCTGAGTCTTTACGATCAGGTTCCGACTCAACAGGTAGCAGCTCAGGCATTCCCGCGGGCCAAACCATAGCGACTGCAAATTCTTTAGAGGTGCTTGACCCAGCTGTGAAGGAAGTCTTTGAACCAGAAGGAAATCCACCCAAAAAACCAAGGGTGGAATGAGTGTTATGACAATCCCGACCAACCACTTTTTCTCTACCAGTTCATGTTTCAATTTGTTAGTTACGAGCTTAAAACTTTATTGCCTTTTTGCCCGTTTTGCTTTTTTTTTGTTTTCCAAACCTTGGTCCTGTGGTTGGTCGTTTCTTTAATTTAACCAAGTGTTCTAGCATTATCTACTTTTGTTTTATATCATCTTCAAACTCCTCCCAAAAAAACACAGGTTTACTTTAGTTGCTGCAACCTAATTAACTTTTACTCATCTAAGAGGATACAAACATAGTCTACATACGTGTTAAATATAATTTCGATGTACATAATTATTTTAAGAGCAATCAACTTTTGGTATGTTTCCCACTGTATTCTGCCTATTCCTTCAAGCTGCTCTTTCTATAAGCTATATTCCAGTAGTGATTAGAGAAGGAATTCATGAGTGACTGACCATTCAACCTTTCCTTCGTATGAGACCGGACATGCCAGCGAATCGAATAGCGTAGGAAGTCAACAAGTCTTAATGGTGGAAAGCTAGAAAGGGAAAAAAGCATTAGTTTCAGGTTGTTTACATACTCGACTAAAAGGAGGAACCCCTCGGGCTAATAAAGTATGTAACTGGCTTAAAAACAAGAAAGCAAGAAAAAGGTATGAAGGCTTCGAAAAAGTCATCTAAAGTTCTGCCTCCTTCGGAGTTACAACCTTTCCAATTTGGCAGATACCTTTAATTGTTTTAAGTTACCACTTCGATAATATATATTTTCCTTAAAAAAAAATCTGCAATGCAACGTTTCCATTTATATACACTATCCACTTTCAATATAACTATTATTCCCATTGTTTAGTACGTATTCACAAATACATATAAGGGGAACGCAAAAAACGGAAATCTCAGGAAAAACATCAAAAACTAAACCTCTACAAATGTTTTACAAATATTGGACATACACTTCTGAGTGACATATAAGGTGAACAGCTGGAATATGCTTTTATGATAGTTTCAGAGAAAAGGTAACCGTTCAATATTGTCTATTGACCTCCCAAATGAAATGTGCAAACATATAGCCAGGGAGTTGGAGTAGCAAATTTCGCACGTTACAAACATTGCTCTGTAGTTTTTTCCTCTGAAAGTTGTATCTGAAACAATTTATTTGGTATCTATGCTTTAAGAAGTTTGGGAGACATGGTCAAAACTTCTGACGAGGTGCCAATGAAAGCATCTGAAGGGAGCTCCCGGAGGAGTGAAAACTTGGTTAAAGTTTCCACGGCGTCGTCCTCATCTGCAACAAAAAAAAGCCATAAAAAAAAGGTTACGCCAGAAAGACGATTATTAACAATTTATTCCCGGCTACCTAGCTAAAACTTGCGCAATACTCTATCTTTCTCTCAGTCGCTGAACAACGCCAACCTTGGTTGCACACACACTATCTGCCCCTTGCGAGTACAAACTTCGTCCCGTGCATTTCAAAGCGTGATCCACAAAAAGGTTAGCATACCTCACACCCCCTCCTTCGTTTTAAAATATTAATTTACGTAGAACCTTGACGCCAACATTTTTAAACCAAGTTACAGAAACAAATGCTAGGCTTGCCCGCAAACACCGAAGTTCGTCGGAGGAGGTTTCAGGGAAAGGAAGGGTCGGCGACAATCTTATCTATGTTGATATTCCACTGACTGGATACCATCAGGGTCCTAATTGTCATCTTGACACAGGAGGCGAAACCACTGTATGTTCAAACTGTTTCCACCTTGCTTTGCTAATACACTTCTACAAGATGGTTATGGGATTGAACGACCACCTGGGATGAAGCAACTTCTATATCATTTTTAAGTTTTCGAACAATCACGGTTGAGTATAATCCAAGTTTACAAGTCCAACTTCATCATCTCACATGAGTATCTTATAATTTGCTATTTATTATCTATGTTTTTTAAAAACAAAAAAAATCCCCACTTTGAACTATATATGAATGACTAGGAGTTAAAATATCACGGGCCTGCAACGAGAATTCGGAGCCAACAAAACATGTACGACAACTTCATTCTAACACAATTAAAAACAATGGCGTTTATTTGCAACCTTTTCTTTCAAAGCAGTTCCCTTTTAATACAATGAAAAAAAAAACAAATTTCCAAACCAAATAAACAAATGAAATACTCTTCCTTTAGGCGATCAAACAACAACACCCGGCGCGTAGCGCCGGCAACCCCCTAATAAAATATATAAAGTTAATATGATATAATTTTCATCAAAATTATAATTTAATAAATTTTAGATCAAAATAACTAGATAAAAAAATTATTAAAAAATAGATTAGGCGGCTAGGCGGTCAACTAGACAGCCTAGACGGATTAAAATCGGACGATCGACTAGCATCTAAGCGGTCAATTTTTAGAACATAGGATAATGCACTTAACATTTTTTTTTTTTTTTTTTTTGATAATGTACTTAACATTACGACGTTTTAGAAATGTTTTTAGTAAATGCCTAAAGACGAAACCGTTTGAATGGAAATCTAATGCTTACTTTATTTTTTAAGGATTTTTAACATAAAAACCCCTCAACTAAGTTTGTTTTGGGTAAAAACCCCTAAACTAAGTATTTAATGGAAAAAACCCCAAACTAATTTTATTTAGTAAATTAAACCCTCGCCGGTCATAATTACCAGTACTACCGGTAAATCTTTAGTTTAGGAGTTTTATCATTAAACATAAAAATTCAAAAAAAAAGAAAAAAAAATCAAATATAATAAGATTATCTAAACATTCGTAATTTTAATTTTCAAAACTAGCATTTTAAAAATTTCTGTAAATATATGAATGTTTTCTTATCCTTGTAAAATGGATTTTTAACTCTAAAATACCTTAACTAAGTTTGTTTTGGGTAAAAACCCCTCAAACTAACAAGTAAACCCCCATATTAAACATAGTTGAAGGGTTTTTATCATTAAAAATCTAAAAAAATAAATTATAACATTATATAAAAATTAGTAACATAAATTTTTAAAATTAGCATTTTGCAAACTTTCTGTAAATATATGAGTTTGATTTGTTTTAACATAAATATTATATATATAGATTAAATTATTTTTTTTAAAAAACCAAAATATAATAAAAAGCATCTAAAGATTTATTATTACATTTTTATTAAATAAGATATAATTATTATTATGTTTTCTTGTTCTTATATTTATAAATTTTGATAATTTTATTACAGGTAAATCGTTAGATAATTTTTCTTATATTTTCTTGGTTTTTACATTTTAATTTATACATATATAATTTTGATTTTAAAA